TCATTGTTGACTGAGCCATCCATTGTTGACTGAGCCATCCATTGTTGACTGAACCATTCATTGTTGACTGAGCCATCCATTGTTGACTGAGCCATCCATTGTTGACTGAACCACTAATTGTTGACTGAGCCACCAATTGTTGACTGAGCCATCCATTGTTGACCGAGCCACTAATTGTTGACTGAGCCATCCATTGTTGACTGAGCCATCCGTTGTTGACTGAGCCATCCATTGTTGACCGAATCATCCACTTTTAACTGAGCCAGTAATTGTTGACTGATCCATCCATTGTTGACTGATTCACTCATTGTTGACTGAGCCATCCATTGTTGGCTGTGTCGTCCATTGTTGACTGAGATATTCATTGTTGACTGAGCCATTCATTGTTGACTGAGATATTCAGTGTTGACCGAGCCACTCATTGTTGACCGAGCCACCCATTGTTGACTGAGTCACTCATTGTTGACTGAGTAACTCATTGATGACTGAGTAACTCATTGATGACTGAGTAACTCATTGATGACTGAGCCACCCATTGTCGACCGAATCATCCATTGCTGACTGAGCCATCAATTGTTGACCGAATCATCCATTGCTGACTGAGCCATCCATTGTTGACTGAACCATCCATTGTTGACTGAGTAACTCATTGATGACTGAGTAACTCATTGATGACTGAGCCACCCATTGTCGACCGAATCATCCATTGCTGACTGAGCCATCAATTGTTGACCGAATCATCCATTGCTGACTGAGCCATCCATTGTTGACTGAGTCACTTATTGTTGACTGAGTCACTTATTGTTGACTGAGTCACCAATTGTTGACTGAGCCACCAATTGTTAACTGAGCCACCTATCGTTGACTGAATCATCGATTGTCAACGGAGCCAATCATTGTTGATTGGGTCACTCTTTATTGACTGAGTCACTCTCTTTTGACTGAGTTATCCATTGTTGACTGAGGAATCCATTGTTGACTGAGGCCTCCATTATTGACTGAGTCATCCATTGTTGACTGATCCAATCCCCCCCCCCCCCCCATTGTTGACTTAGCTATCCATTGTTGACTTAACCGCCCATTGCTGACTCAGCCGTTCATTGTTGACCCAGCCGTCCATTCTTGACCGAGTCATCCATTCTTGACTGGGCCATCACTGAGCCAGTTACCTATTGTTTACTAAGCAATTCGTTGATGATTGTGTCACCCATTGTTAAATGGGCCACTCATTGTTGACTGAGCCAATAATTGTTGACATAGTCATTCATTGTTAACTGAGCCATACATTGTTGAATGAGCAAAACATTGTTGACTTAAGCACCTATTGTTGACTGAGTCATCCATTGTTGACCGAGCCACCCATTGTTGACTGAGCCAATAATTTTTGATTGAGTCATTTATTGTTAACTGAGCCATACATTATAGAATGAGCAATACATTGATAACTGAGTCACCCATTGTTGACTGAGCCACTCATTGTTGACTGAGCCAGCCAAATATAATAGGCTTGAACATTGGTTTGCATCCCCGTGTACGAGTATTGGTATGGTGTTGGATATTAATACAGCAGAAAAAGAAGCAAATACAAAAGATATAGGTGCGGACACGATTCACTTCTATTTTCTACTGTTTCGATAATCCAACACCATTACCCATCAATAAACTTATATGAACCCCATGTATAACTCTACGACAGGTTAGTAACTGAGGTATGTGAATTAATAGTTTATTATATAAAACTCTGATCACATATTTAAAATCAGAACTTAAAGATACCTACATATAGTCTGCACAAAGCAACAAATTTTTTAATAACTTTTATGATAATTGGAATAGCAGCCTTAAAATAGTACTATAAGTCTTAGAATATCTTTGCCTTAATAGAATTATAAACACATATTATCGATATATCTCTATCGATTCTCACCGGCGAGGCATGACCTGCTGATTCCTTCAGAACACATGACGCTTGTCTGTTCCTCAGCGCCTCGAGGCGAAGCATAGGCATGCATGCCATTGTCATATATTTATAATAAAATCAGCCTATATCATATCGTGACCCCAGTCTTTGTCTCGGTTCGTCAACTCAACATCAACATCAACTTTAATTGAATGTTGGTTGAGTCGTGTATAAGAGACTACTATAATGATCCATAGATGCTCTTCCTGAGCACTTGAAGCCAATCTGCGTCTTGGATTGTGAACCCAGCTCAACTCAAGGATATCTTACTATGTTAGGTCGAAATATATTACCAACTGTTATCATTGATATAATGTATATATACGAGATAAGCGTATATCGTGACCCACTAACCGTTATCAGTTACTTTGTACTTATTCAATTATTCATATTTCTGCATATTTCACTGAGCATTGAAGGTGTTCTCAAGAACCCTGGGACGCGTTTATCCTTCAAGTAAGTACGATTATATGGCTATGCCTAATAAATTTGTACGACTAAGTGCTCTTGACTTGAGAGGGGTGCAAATATTATTCCTGGCCCCTTCTCAAGTGTTGCAGTGATACTCAGCTTCTAACGCGCATTCTCAGTGTCTGTAATTTGGTATGATTTCTGTAAATGCAGGGAGTGTGTGTGTGTGTGTGGGGGGACGAAAAACTAAGCTTTAGACAAGAAATTGAACTCTGCACTCTATCCTTATGAGAATCTTCAGATGCAGAGTCTTCAGTCTTCAAACTCCATTTTCAGATCCAGTTCCTGACATTCAAGATGCCAATCTGTGTGGTACATACCAGCGTCAAGGATGAAGACATCCCTGAGGGTTTTGAAAAAGGTATGGCTGAAAAAGTTGCAGAAGTTCTGCTGAAACCTTTAACAGTAAGTGAGTCATCGTCTCATTAATGAGTCATCGTCTCAGTAAGTGGGTCATTGTCTCAGTATACGAGTCATCGTCTCAGTGAGTCATTGTTTTAGTAAGTAAGTCATCTTCACGGTAAGTGAGTCATCGTCTCATTAATGAGTCATCGTCTCAGTAAGTGGGTCATTGTCTCAGTATACTAGTCATCGTCTCAGTAAGCGAGTCATTGTTTTAGTAAGTAAGTCATCTTCACGGTAAGTGAGTCATCGTCTCATTAATGAGTCATCGTCTCAGTAAGTGGGTCGTTGTCTCAGTATACTAGTCATCGTCTCAGTAAGTGCGTCATTGTTTTAATAAGTAAGTCATCTTCACGGTAAGTGAGTCATCGTCTCATTAATGAGTCATCGTCTCAGTAAGTGGGTCATTGTCTCAGTATACTAGTCATCGTCTCAGTAAGTGAGTCATCGTTGTCTTAGTAAATGATCCATTGTCTCCGTAAGTGAGTCATCGTCACAGTAAGCCAGTCATCGTCGTCTTAGTATGTGAGCTACTGTCTCAGTAAGTGAGTCATCGTGTCAGTAAGTGAGTCGCCGTCTCAGTAAGTGAGTCGTTGTCCTAGTTAATGAGTCATCATGTCACTGTCTCAGTTAGTGAGTCATCGTCTCAGTTAGTGAGTCATCGTCTCAGTTAGTGAGTCACCATCTCTGAAAGTGTGTCATCGTCTCAGTAAGTGAGTCGCCGTCTCAGTAAGTGAGTCACCGTCTCAGAAAGTGAGGCATCGTCTCAGAAAGTGAGTCGAGGTCTCAGAAAATGAGGCATCGTCTTAGTATTAGGAGACTGTGGTATAATATTCATATCAAATATAAACACACCAATGAAAATCAATGAGTGGCTGTGGACTCTCTACTTCCAAAAATCCAAATCAAAGCCAAACCTTCTTCCCCTCCCCCACCCTTTAAAATTTTGTGGACCCTAAAAAGCTGCAAGTGACGTAAAACGATTTTTTTATTTTCAGAACGTGACTGTAATAGTGCATGGTGGATGTCGGCTATACCGGAAAGAGACCACCCTCCCAAGTTGTGTAGTACAGCTGTACTCTATTGGGGTGTTTGATGCTGCCAGGAACCCGACTTACACCCCTCCTCTTATAGAATTCATTCGATCTCAGCTTAAACTAGCAGAAAACAGGTACGCCTCAATCATTCAGAAAAATAGAGCTCTTATAGAGCTTATCGAAATAATGCGAATGTTGTAGTTCTCGAGCAAAGGACCATGGAGTTGAACCCTGGGTATAGACATTACCTTGGCCCCGTATTAGCGCTAGAATGACCTTGGCTCTTAATATTTAACACTGTTTAAGATCGTTTCGAGAATACCGGGTCTGATGTTTTTCTTTCCGCGTACATCAGAGTATTGGTGGTCTCTACTCTAGAACAAGCCGCAATGAGAGAGCTTTCAAAAATGGTTTTTTGAATGACCAATCTGAACAACTTAATGTTAACGGATTCCATATCTGAGCTTTTAACCCAGTCTTAAACAAACAATTGTTGACTATTGCAATATTTACGACTGAATTAAGATAAAATCCAGATTTAAGAAATACAGTCATCTGATTGGATAATAATACTTAACTTAGAATTAATTTTACTGATAGACCGATCAGATGACTGGAACACAAAACTCATCTTAAGTTCAGTTTTCAAGATTAAGGCCCCTGGTCAGTGCATTATGTAATATCTGGACACAGACTTTGGCTGGATTTATGAATGTTGCAAATAGGCAGAATCATGGCCAGAAAAGATTTTTGAATCTGGAAAAGCCAAAGTAATCACAGTTGAACCACTTTGGTACCGTCTGCTGTGTATTTAAAAAATAGCTGATGCCAGAATGTCTCGACATAGAACTCACTTTTCTGTGAATTATGAAATATTATGAATTATTAAGTTCGATATTTTTTTCAGAGTCGTGATACATTATCGTGAGGCAGAGAAATACCAGTTTGGACAGTAGAAAATATTATTGTAATCCATGACCTTGTGGTTTATAGGAATAACTGTATATTCATTATGAATTATAATCCGTACAAGGCAGACATTGATTGAATTTTATTTATGATATGAACATTGATTTGGTGCTCAAAAAAATGAAATGTGATTTTTGTCTCTTCGTACTTTATATCAAAGTAAATTCAAACCAAGATGTTTTTGTTATGTACTGTGTTTAGACGCATCCTGCTTTTTGTAATATTCTGTTATATTCGGTGTTATATTCACTAATATTCTGTTATATTCGGTGTTATATTCACTAATATTCTGTTATATTCGGTGTTATATTCACTAATATTCTGTTATATTCGGTGTTATATTCACTAATATTCTGTTATATTCGGTGTTATATTCACTAATATTCTGTTATATTCGGTGTTATATTCACTAATATTCTGTTATATTCGGTGTTATATTCACTAATATTCTGTTATATTCGGTGTTATATTCACTAATATTCTGTTATATTCGGTGTTATATTCAAAAATATTCTGTTATATTCGGTGTTATATTCACTAATATTCTGTTATATTCGGTGTTATATTCACTAATATTCTGTTATATTCGGTGTTATATTCACTAATATTCTGTTATATTCGGTGTTATATTTTCTAATATTCTGTTATATTCGGTGTTATATTCACTAATATTCTGTTATATTCGGTGTTATATTTTCTAATATTCTGTTATATTCGGTGTTATATTCACTAATATTCTGTTATATTCGGTGTTATATTCACTAATATTCTGTTATATTCGGTGTTATATTCACTAATATTCTGTTATATTCGGTGTTATATTCACTAATATTCTGTTATATTCGGTGTTATGTTCACTAATATTCTGTTATATTCTGTTATATGGCGAAATTTAGCCACACCATTTTCAAAACTAACAAATTAAGATATTTTGCTCTGTGCTTGTATCTATGGTTCCACCCAATATATCTAGAAATCTAAACATCTAGAATTCTTTTGTTCTGTTCTGTTATAATGAGAATTTGTGCGAGATTTAGTCCCACCTTAATCATCAACAAATCATGACAGATGTTTTGTTCTATTCGTTTATATTTGAGATTATTTGCGGGTTGTGTCGAGCCCCAATTATAAAAGCATCTTGTACAAACACCTGATGATGTACAAAGATAAAGACAAGCCAAGTTCCAGTTTTTTATGAGGCGTATTTATCGACCATTAACCTGTAGTGTAGTAAGCTATATAAAATATTAATATATTAATCTCTTTTACATATTCTAGACGCAGTAGCTCAACTACCATAGGGTATGGCTGTAGTGGTGAGGGGGCCGAGCAAGGGCCGCAAAATTTTCCAGGGGGGCCACAGGTCATTCTTCCACTATATAAAATGATAAAATTTTATGGGCGGAGGGGCCATACCCAGCCTCTTTTCAGGGGACTTAATTGATAACACTAAGTCGTTCTGCTGCCATTCATTCATACCACGTGCCGCAGCAGACGATTCTGGCACTGCGCATGACAAGATAAGATATCTCTCGAGTGCAGTTCTAAACATCTCGTGTTTCACTTCAAACCAGACGAATATTTATAAATAATGGAACCGAGGGTCTAAGAACTCTAAGATATTCTAAAATGAAATTTAAACAGTGTTTCTAACTTCTGTTCTTGTAGTTATAATTAATACGAAGATAAGGATTCGAAAAATCCGAATATTTTAAAAATTTGTTTTAATTTTCGGATATTTGAATTTCGGATATCTGATATTCAGGACTATCATGAATTCCTTTTTATTCAGTGGTTGGAAAACGAAAGAAAACAGGTAAGAAAATATCCTCTTTTTTTCTATATCTCGACCTTATTTAAATCACATTGCACAATGCCCATAGTTCAAGTAACGTGTAATGTGGCTCACGCACCATAGCGACCACCAGTTGCGTATGGTTATAAATAAGAACAGCCCGAGTTGTGAATGCGTTCGGAACTCTGGCCACTTTCATTATTCGCAAATGGTGGTCGCTGGTAAGGGCACCTTAACATCTTATCGTTTTATGGGGTGGTAGGGACAATTCTCTGATAGCCCGTCACAGAAATGTCAAGTTTTTGATTCAACAGTGGTAACATAACCCTGAAGCTAATTGGTTTTTGAATAATTGAATAACAACCATAAACTGGTTAATCAGGTCAATATCGTTGCTGACTTTTATGCACCGATTTCGAATAACGCTATAGTCGACTCCCGGGTTTATCGACTTCAAAAGTTTCTCTTTCAAAAGAAATATAACGGAATGTTTTTGACTGATTTTGTTTTTGTTTTACCCCAATTTGACAGGCATTGCCATACAATGTGATTAAGTTACCATTGTTAGGGTGGATATAGTGCTGTTAGGGAACGCTGATTCTGTGTAGGTTTTTCCCCTCTTTACTATCAAATCACAACACTGCAACATCACAACGTGAATCAAAACAACATTGTAAGAACACAACAACACAGAATCAAAACAACATTGTAACATCACAACGTGAATCAAAACAACATTGGAAGAACACAACAACACAGAATCAAAACAACATTGTAACATCACAACGTGAATCAAAACAAAATTGTAAGAACACAACAACGCACAATCAAAACAACATTGTAACATTACAACAACACAGAATCAAAACAACATTATAAGAACACAACAAACAACAACACAGAATCAAAACAACATTGCAACATCACAACGTGAATCAAAACAACATTGTAAGAACACAACAACACAGAATCAAAACAACATTGTAACATCACAACGTGAATCAAAACAACATTGTAAGAACACAACAACACAGAATCAAAACAACATTGTAACATCACAACGTGAATCAAAACAACATTGTAAGAACACAACAACACAGAATCAAAACAACATTGAAACATCACAACGTGAATCAAAACAACATTGTAAGAACACAACAACGCAGAATCAAAACAACATTGTAACATTACAACAACACAGAATAAAAACAACATTGTAACATTACAACAACACAGAATCAAAACAACATTGTAAAATTACAACAACACAGAATCAAAACAACATTATAAGAACACAACAACACAGAATCAAAACAACGTTGCAGCAACTTGACAACATAGAATCAGAAACAACATTGTAACATTACAACAACACAGAAGCAAAACAACGTTGTAACATTACAACAACACAGAATCAAAACAACATATCATAACAACCCTGATCTCACATCAACTCTGCAACTGCAGAGGCTTAATTTATATTTTGGCATCTCGGTGGTGGTGTCATAGTTTTAGAAATTCTAGAAAAAACGAATTGATTTTGTGCATTCTGACATAGATTTGTTAAATCTCTGTGGTCTCAGATGAAGAAGGCGACCTATTGACCTAATTCTAATATTCAGTACTTCCTAACGTACTCGAGTTTCGAGGTTAGTTATTATCACTATAAGTACTAGATTCCTGATTTTAGTTTTCCTGGCACCAAATTAAACCGAAATCAGGTCAAGCTGGGTTATTTGATTAGGAAGAGATAAAGTTTAGAAATTTTAAAACATTTTACAACTTCCTTTTTTTGAGTGTTTCCTTTACCGTTTTATGATTCTATCAGCGAAGGATGCCCTGAAGAGACTCAATGGACAAAGGGTGCGAAGGTTATTAACTCAGTTCGTTAGAAGATAATTGATAACCTAAACCTTCAGATTTTCTGTCAAATATTATTGTGTGCACCGTCAACTCAAATAGAATGAGTCCAGGGGCGTGGGGGAATTATAAATTATGAAATGGAAAAATTCATGACGTGTCCAATGATGTTTCACGGTCGTAAGGGCTGAAGGGGGGGGGGGGGGGTCGTGCGCATCGCCCAATGGTCCAGCCCCTATATACCCTACAGAATGTTTTATTAAGAAAAATAATTTATATATGACAGTCGTTACTTAAAAAAACATGTAGGAAAGGCAAAAACCTCAATTTTTAAGCAAAGGGGGGAAATATAATTATTATGCATGATAACTGCCTGGTGCATTCAACATAAGTTGAGTATATATTATAAAGAAACCTTAGTGATATTATTGTTACGCGCGAGTGGATATCACAGTGTATATCTGGTAAATACATCATCGTTCATTATCATCAAATACATATCTCTCTTACGTATTAATAGATCTATTACCTTGATTTCTCTAGACTCTTGGAAAAGAAATGCTGAATTAATAAAACCGGCAATGTGGATGCTCAGAAGAGACGTTTTGAAAATCTAAAGACAAAAACAGCATTATAAGCTATATGTGTATTCTCAAAAAGAGATAATGAGTACCGAAGTATTGTAAAACATGAGGATGGTGAGTTGAAAGTGAGGATGACAGATGAGGATTGAGTTAATATTGATAACTTTGTTCTCCCATTGGACGGCTCCTTTGCAAAACTCGAAGAATCATGCCGTGGTATGTTATTGGAACCAAAGTTATGAAAATAAACAATGCGGGCTTTCATCTTTTCTGATGTATCTGCCTTCTCCCCATCAATCTACGTTCTTCTGGTACCAAACGGTAGAACCACTTTGACATTATCAGTAATTTGCTCAACTCCATTATAAAAAATGTGTAGTATTAGTTCCCCACAGTGCGTCTAAATTAGAAAGTTTAGATTAATATGGTGTACATTACTACTCGAGTCCTGCTGAGACGATAAATTAATGTTTGATAAATACAGGTTTTATATTCTTGTAGAATCGTTTTTGAAGCATAACTAATTTATAGATAGTTATAAAAACATAGATTGTATAATGTATAATAGATGTTATCTCAAATTAGTGATGAAGTCATCATCTTCATCCTGATGGACTATCCACTTCAGCTCTTGTTTTGGGGATATAATCACGAAATTAATTACACCAGCTCAAGGCCCGTTGCTATCCAAGCGTCTCAAGGGGGGCTAAACATATTTTTAAAGATGGGTGATCAATTTATGCAACTGTGATAGAAAAGACATAAAAAAGTAAAATTCCTAGTTTGAGATATTTTCAAAGAAATTATGCGATTTTGGCACATTTTTAGTACTTTTGAAGACTATTCACATATTTTCAATTCTAAACTCAACCCCCCAAAATGGCACATCTGTCCCTTTAAAAGTAGGACCCATGGACTTGGTTCAACCGGTTCCTATGGTAGTTTAGACACCAATATAAAGAGTTATAATAGAATCCGTGGTTTCAGGGAAGGTCTCGAGTTTAAAGTGAACCATCTGTTACTGTGATATCTGCCCGGGGGTCTCCCTACAACTTTCTGACTTCAGTTCATCTTAGTTCTGTAACCTAAACTATCTCTTTCATTTCATTCACAACATTATTTTGTGATAGTCCGATGACTTTGAATAAGTCATCTTCATTCATAATTCCAGTCGACCCAGCTGTAAATGGCTACGGATAATCCGGGAAAGATCAATACCTTGAGGTTTGGCCAAGAATCAGCTCGTAGAAAGGATCCTTAGTTTTTATCCTTGTAAAATATATTTCTTTCTTTCTTAGTTATGACTTTCATCTCCTAGATTCGACCACGGAGAATGAAACGTAAATGAATTTTTAATTTATTGTAATAAATCATTTTTTTCTGTGGAGAGATGGGACAGGTTCGCCATCCTTTTGACTAATCGTACCTTTAGGATGAGAATTTTCTTTAGCTAAGCCAAGCAGTAACAGTGTTCACGGCTCACCTTCGAAAATTTGAGCCTTCAAATCCATGTGTGTGTCCAGAATTATCAGTCTTAGAAAGTTAAAAAGACGAGTCGTCATTTCTTGAGACTACGCCATATATAGAAAAGACATAATATGTAGAATTTTCGAAAAGAATCGTGGGCATTTGTTACAGCGGGAAAGAGCAGGTTAAAAGTTGGAATCCTAATTGACAGATAACAGCTCTTTTCATCTTATATACATTTTCATACGACGAGGAGTTGCAAGGGGAATAAGCTAGGAATTGTTTCAAACACAATCATGTCAGTAATTATCCCAATTTAAAGAAACACGACGAGAATCTATTTTGTAATGATTAATCTTTTTATGTATTGAAGGAAATTCCAACTGAAATTAGACACACATCAACATCCATACCAGTTCTATTTTAGTTTTAATGTATAACTCTTAACTTAAATCAGGTGCACCTAAACACCGATTGAATCTTATTGCAACACGAACGACCGCAAAGAAAGTCGTAATGCAATGAAATTTGCAAATTCCCTATCACGAAAG